CAAATTACTCTTATTAGGTTGAGCTTCATTAAACTAAATATTAGACATCACTCCATTAAAGTGTTATACCATGAGTTTGAGGAATTTTAAGCATATGGTGAACATCGCAATTTCTTTTTATATAATTTATATATATATATAAAATAACATATGCAGAGAAATTAGAATATATAGTGAATATTGGTTTAGATAGGTTAACATTAATTTTTATATTTATATTTATTGGTCTAATCGAGAAGGTTTGTCAATAGAATAAGAACTTTTATTCAGCTTTATGAAAAAAAATAAATAAATAAGAGCAAAGAGAATGTTAATAAGTATTCTTAGCACGCTGGTTAAGCAATTGAAAGTTAGGAGTTTAAAAACTTCCTATTATTTAATATAGTAGTGCCCGTGAGGTGGTTGTAATAATTATTTTTTTTTATAAAAAAAACATATATTATGACGTACTAAACAATGTACGTCATAATACGTTGATTCCAAAAATCATATCTACGTTATAATATATCACATATTATAACGTATTAACACATCTACGTTATAATATCTTTGTCATATGTTATAAAATGTCATTTTTCTACTAGTGGGGATTTCTAAAACTGGGGAGACGAGAGAAGGGGAGAGAGGGAATTCTGAAATTTGGGAATTTGGGGCAAAAGAACCCAAATTTCTAATTTAACCCATCGTTGACATTACCGAAGGCCTACATGCCTTCAGTATATTATGTCAACAACATTTTTCCGAAGGCCTAAAGACCGTCGGTAAATACCCGTCGATAATAACGCTCTTTCTTGTAGTGTTCTCTACATGCATCACATATATTCAATGTCTAACATCTAACTTTGACCAATATGGAAGATAAAAGAATATTGATTTCTTCTTCCAAGGGTTCATTACAGATGACTTCTTGGATGTTTTCCAAAATACATAAAGCACTTTATTAACTTTTTCAAGGACTTCAAGCTAGTAAGTGGAATTGGTGCATCGTCTTTCTCTTGTTGTCCATTGAATGCTTTTTTTAACCTTCAATATGGATGATTAGGTTGTAAAAATCTCCAATGATGCATATACACTGTCTTCCTTCCGTGTTTTAATTTATGAGCTGTAGTATTTTCTTCACATATTGGACATGTTATGACCCTTCACACTGTACCCTGATAAATTACCATAAGCTGGGAAGTCATTAATGATGCTAAATAATATGGCATGCATCATGAATGTTTCAGAAGAAAAGGCATCAAATACTTCAATCCCATCAACCCAGAACAACTAAAAGTCTTCAACTAGTGGCCTGAGATAAACATTTATGTCATTTCCAGGCTGCTTTGCACCAGATATCAACATTGAGAACATCATGTACTTTCTATTGATGCCCAATCCAGGAGATATGTTGTAAATTATATGTATA